GGGGGTGATTTGGAGGGGCCGGGGGTCGGGGATCCCCACGGTTGGGGTGTGGGGATGAAATCCCCACCCTGGCTTGGGCCCCGGGGATCCCCGCAAGCCAACACTGCCTGCATCCATGAAAGAAATTGAAAATATGCATCCCCTCTTGTTGTGTTGTCCCCGAAAAGGTGCCATTAATCACATGGCCTTCACTGAGCAGTGCATGCACTGCAGAAATCCACAATAAAACGAAAACGAAACGGACCACATCCACGGTTGGCTGCCACGAACATGCGCGTCGCCGGGCGACGTGGCACACTACACGACTATGGCGGAACAAAACGGTTGCTCCAACTTCAAAGCGCCCCTCGATCGCTGACACGCATCTACACATCCCCCCCTACCCGCCCGGAACCTCGCCACCCTTGCCTCCGCCTGCCAGCTTGACCCCCATTCCAATCCTGCGTTGACACCCCTTCCACCCTGTCCCCTCACCTGCCATACACAAACCAACACGACGGGCGTGCCGCCGAAGACCGTGGACCATTCCACTCCACGGGCGAAGCATGCTGCCACGATGCGCAGGACGGTCATATCCACCAAATTCACTTCCCTACTTCATCGTCGGGACCGTCCTCCTTGCGATCGCCATCAAAAGGTCCCGTCCCCATCCAGTCCATCTTCACCTCGATGTCAGGGTCCGCCAAACCAGCGTGGTAGTTGAAGCGCACTCCACATGAAGCCCACTCCAGGATGTAGTTAGGAAACACACCCATCGTCAAGGGCGGCTTCCCGAGGGGAGTCAATACGACATTAGCGGACTGGAGAACATGTCGGCACCAAGGACTGTGAACCAGCCGCCACAATCATGGGCTTTGCCACGAGCTGCACGTAGTACGACGCCTCCTAGTAGGAGCGCACATCGTCGCTCCCCATGCGCATGACCCACATGCACGAGGCGAGAAGCAGGCGGAAAGCGTCCGCGACTCTGCTAAGCCTTGAGTGGGACATTTTTCCACCGTCGGACCACTGCCTGACTCGGAGCGCAACGTGAGACCAGGATGCCAAATGCATTACTGTGGACTCCTGATGGGCTGCCATGTCGTCGTCCTCAGGCCTATCCTCGACATATGCCCCCACATACCACAATGAAATGTCCATCTTCAGAGCGAGCGCGTGGTAGATGACACTAGGAGGCACTACCCTCGACCACTCCGCGCTCTGCCAAACTGCTTTCGCCAGATCGGTGGGGTAATCAACGGCGACATACGAATCGGCGCGGGCGAAACCATCGAACCTTGAAGACGACCTGAATATCCACCCGTGGATGACGTGCATAGCGACGTTCTCCGTCTGTCTCGCCCGTCGTAGAGCTGGCTCTTGCTTTGCATGATCTTCGATTCGCACGCGCGGAACATCGGGGGGTGGCATGATGACGCCATGTGGAGCGGTGGTGCCTGCATCACCGTTCACGATTGCACAATAATAGTCCGCGCAATCATGCACGGCGTCTGCAATCATGCGACCAGGTCCGCTTCCCCAAAACTTCTTCTCGTCTACCCAGAGCTTGGATTTCGCCTCCAACTCTTCCTCCTCACGCGTTCTTTTCTTGCTCAAGTTGAGAGATTCGTTGTCCTCGTCGTTCGCCCGCGGAGTCTCATCCCTCCTCTCCTCTTTCCTCCCTTCTTTTCGACCCTCTGATCTTCTCGCCTTTCTCCGGCGTGGATACTGACACTTCCTGCTCGTGCGGAAGGTGCGACAACCCTCGATGACCCCCTGACCATCAACGTGTTCGACGACTCCACGTGGCGTAAGGGAGACCCAGGGACTTGTTCTTTATCCGTGCATTCGACAAGGGAAACGATCATGGACGTTGAACTGACAGGCCTTTGCGGTGTCGTGTCGTTGATGACAATCCCTTGAGAACGCACGGTTCCGCTCCCGCCGCCATGTGGAGTCCTTGGAAGAATAAGGTTGGCTAGTGCAATCATCTGCTCCCTGCTGACACCATTTCTCCATATGTTACTATATGAACGTGCTGAACGTGCGTGCTCGTTCAAACGCGCGTGTTCAATCCCCACCTGCGCATTCAAACGCGTTCAAACGCGCCACGTGGCAGAGGGCGGGAAAAAATCAAACGCGCTCCCCCTGCCAGCATGCGTGCATCCTACACCACCCGGAGGCATGAGGCATTCACAAAAAAGGGAAAAAGAAAAAAGATCAAATAACCCACCCCCCCATCCTTTTTTTACTGTGCACTAAAAAAAACCTTAACTATGCCAGAGTGTTTTGTTGGTCTATTATCGACTCATCAGGAGGTTGAGCCCCGACAATCTGCTAAGGATGCATTCGTGTCGAGTTGTTGATAGCCCTGATTGAGCTCGCGCGCACACACACACACACACCCCTCCCTTACAAGTGCACGTACACACACACACACACACACACACACACACACACACACACACACACACACACACACACACACACACACACACACACACACACACACAC